AAACTAACGTGGGCCCGCCACCCTCCTCACGTGCCTCCCACGTCCAAAAAACCCTAACTTAAACCCAAAAAAGATACCCGAATTCATTTCTCCCCAATGGCTCGCTTCCTGTTCAACGTCGCGCGAGCTCGAGCCCCCCTCAAAACCCTAACCCAAACCCTAAACCCAACTCGAACCTACATCTCCGAGATGCGGCGCTCCGCCTTAAGAGACAACCTCCTCCGCATCCTCCGAACCGAGATCTCCTACGCCGCCGCCGACCTCCCGTCCCCGCCGGCGACCTTCTCCTCCTTCTCCATCGACGCTCGCCCGGGCGAGAACTGGTTTCGCCTCACCCGATCTTACCGATCCGAAACGCTAAAGATCGACGCCACCACGGTCGACGGCGCTGCTCCCTCCACCAGATCTCCGTCCGCCGACGATTCTGCCTCCTCCGGCGACGGGAGATTGCACATAAGCGTCATCGTCGAGGTGTCGAAGGGCGAAGACTCCGATCTCGTGCTTCAGTTCGTGTGCTCGGCGTGGCCGGATGCGATGGACGTTGAGAAGGTCTTCACGGTGAGGAAAGGGGCGGCGAAGGCGGCGATGCCATTCATGGGGCCCGATTTTGGGTTAGGATGGTTAAGTCATTGGTTTGGTTTTGTGATTGGATTTAAGTTAGGGTTTTGAGTGTTTTGATTTGCTTGCAGGGAGCTGGATGAGGAGTTGCAGAGGGCAGTGAGGGATTATTTGGAGGAGAGGGGAGTGAACGATGAGCTCGCGGAGTTCTTGCATGGTTATGTGGAGGGAAAGGATCGAGGGGAGCTTGTTAGGTGGTTGAAGAATATTGAGGCTTGTGTCAAGAAATAGGTAATTGCATTCTTTTTTTTCCTCCTTAAATTGTAAATTTTTCCTTGTATGTTGATCTGATTGTGTGATAGTGGACATAATAGATTTTACGAATATGATAAGTGTTGATGCTAGGGAAAACTCACTAGATTGAGTTTGTAAGATTGGACTCGCCGAAGAGGGCCCCTTGATCAACTTAGATGACTTGAGAGGTTTCTAGCGATGAGATCTACTTGAGATTGCTGAGTGGGCTTATGATACACAGAAAAAATGTCAGACAGTCGATGATGAGCTGTTCACTAACGCCTCTCCGATGCCTAAGTTAGACTCTTGTAGAAAGATATCAAAATAGAAGGTATTTTACCAATGTTGTAAAAAGCGGCAAAAAGCGGGGATATTGCGGCACGAATAGCGGAAGCGGGGCATCAGCGCTACGCTTAAGGCATTAGCGGCGTGCTTAAGCGGTAAAAACCGTTTTGTGTTCGAATTACGCGTGTTAGCGGGTTTTAGCGGTTAATAGCGCTTAAAAGCGCTAATACCGCTATTAACTGCTTCAAGTTGTAAACGGGAATTGCCCCCGGACCCGACCCGAACCCGACTCGCGTACCCACTAAACTTAAAACCCTCAGTTTCCCGAACCCTTGTGCCCTAGCCGCCTCTCACGTACTTTTTCTCCTTTCTTTTTCTTCTGACTTTTTCTCCCGTCGAGCTCCAGTGACGACTGATCTCCAACTTCCAGCGACGTCCAACTGTCCAAGCTCCTCCTCCAACAGTCCAAGCTCCTCCTCCAAGCTTCTCCTCCGACTGACAACCTCCAGGGTTCCTCCGGTCAACATCTCACGAGTCACGACAACCTCCAATCTCCTCCAACGATCCAAGCTCCTCCGACTGACAACCTCTAGTAACGACAATCTCCACAGTTCCTCCAGTCAACATCTCACGACAACCTCCAAGCTCCTCCTCCGCCTCTCTCGACAACCTCCAACGACCGACGAGGCGACGACTTCCAGGCTCCCGCACCAACAACATCTCCGGTCAACACCTCCATCTCTGTTGGCAGCGGCTTTGTCTGCAACAGAGAAACAGGTAATCAACTCCCCTTAACTAATTATGATGCTATATTTTTTGAATTTCTTCATAGTTCATTCATATTTCATACAATAAGCTTATCAATTGTTATTTACTACCACTGATAATACAAAAAATTTACAAGTAATTAATTTATTTATGTGATAAATGGCTTGATTTTCATAATCAGCAGCTGCAATCAAAATTTTCTTTATTCTGTCACTGCATTAGGTCCAACTTCCAGAAAACTTGTATAATCAAAAAATAAAAATCAACATATGAAATTATTATAACTTATTCTTCACGGTGAGGAAAGGGGCGGCGAAGGCGGCGATGCCATTCATGGGGCCCGATTTTGGGTTAGGATGGTTAAGTCATTGGTTTGGTTTTGTGATTGGATTTAAGTTAGGGTTTTGAGTGTTTTGATTTGCTTGCAGGGAGCTGGATGAGGAGTTGCAGAGGGCAGTGAGGGATTATTTGGAGGAGAGGGGAGTGAACGATGAGCTCGCGGAGTTCTTGCATGGTTATGTGGAGGGAAAGGATCGAGGGGAGCTTGTTAGGTGGTTGAAGAATATTGAGGCTTGTGTCAAGAAATAGGTAATTGCATTCTTTTTTTTCCTCCTTAAATTGTAAATTTTTCCTTGTATGTTGATCTGATTGTGTGATAGTGGACATAATAGATTTTACGAATATGATAAGTGTTGATGCTAGGGAAAACTCACTAGATTGAGTTTGTAAGATTGGACTCGCCGAAGAGGGCCCCTTGATCAACTTAGATGACTTGAGAGGTTTCTAGCGATGAGATCTACTTGAGATTGCTGAGTGGGCTTATGATACACAGAAAAAATGTCAGACAGTCGATGATGAGCTGTTCACTAACGCCTCTCCGATGCCTAAGTTAGACTCTTGTAGAAAGATATCAAAATAGAAGGTATTTTACCAATGTTGTAAAAAGCGGCAAAAAGCGGGGATATTGCGGCACGAATAGCGGAAGCGGGGCATCAGCGCTACGCTTAAGGCATTAGCGGCGTGCTTAAGCGGTAAAAACCGTTTTGTGTTCGAATTACGCGTGTTAGCGGGTTTTAGCGGTTAATAGCGCTTAAAAGCGCTAATACCGCTATTAACTGCTTCAAGTTGTAAACGGGAATTGCCCCCGGACCCGACCCGAACCCGACTCGCGTACCCACTAAACTTAAAACCCTCAGTTTCCCGAACCCTTGTGCCCTAGCCGCCTCTCACGTACTTTTTCTCCTTTCTTTTTCTTCTGACTTTTTCTCCCGTCGAGCTCCAGTGACGACTGATCTCCAACTTCCAGCGACGTCCAACTGTCCAAGCTCCTCCTCCAACAGTCCAAGCTCCTCCTCCAAGCTTCTCCTCCGACTGACAACCTCCAGGGTTCCTCCGGTCAACATCTCACGAGTCACGACAACCTCCAATCTCCTCCAACGATCCAAGCTCCTCCGACTGACAACCTCTAGTAACGACAATCTCCACAGTTCCTCCAGTCAACATCTCACGACAACCTCCAAGCTCCTCCTCCGCCTCTCTCGACAACCTCCAACGACCGACGAGGCGACGACTTCCAGGCTCCCGCACCAACAACATCAAGACTTCTAGGCTCTCTCACGTTCCTCCGGTCAACACCTCCATCTCTGTTAGCAGCGGCTTTGTCTGCAACAGAGAAACAGGTAATCAACTCCCCTTAACTAATTATGATGCTATATTTTTTGAATTTCTTCATAGTTCATTCATATTTCATACAATAAGCTTATCAATTGTTATTTACTACCACTGATAATACAAAAAATTTACAAGTAATTAATTTATTTATGTGATAAATGGCTTGATTTTCATAATCAGCAGCTGCAATCAAAATTTTCTTTATTCTGTCACTGCATTAGGTCCAACTTCCAGAAAACTTGTATAATCAAAAAATAAAAATCAACATATGAAATTATTATAACTTATTGTATGAATGAAAAAATATAGCATGTTTATTTATTGTATGAAATGATTCAAATGAATGTAGAAATAATACAAGAAATAGGAATAATGTATGTTTAATCCAGTGATTAATTTCAGCCATTATATTGTACTTATATTGTTATTTGTTCATTCATATTTCAGACAAGAAATAGTACTTATATTGTTATTTGTTCTTATTCATTGAATAGGTATAATTTCAGCCATTACATGGACTTATCCTCAACAACTTCTAATCCATTAATGAGTTCTCAAAATCGAGAGTCGGGTAGCTCCCAGAGCCGATCAAATCTAGTTGTCGAGGCTCAAGCTTCGATTCAACACCCACATCCGCGTCCTTCAGATGATATTCGATGGGATTGGGCAATTTATCCAGAATAGGCTAAGAAGAATAAGATCAAGTGCACTCTGTGTGAACATGAAACCACTGGTGGTATTTCCTGCTAGAAAGAGCACTTAGTTGGTAGCCGGGGGAATACTAAACCATGCAAGAAAGCGACGCCTGACATTATTACGAGGGTAAAAGCAGCAATGGATGAAACTAAGGGAAGTAAGTCAGACAAGATAAGATTTGATATCGAGCGTAGGTAGGAGGTCGATATTTTTAGTTCCAGAATTGAGAATGCGGAAGAAATCACTAAGATTGAAAACAAGAGGCCTCGTGAATTTGAAGCTAACCATCGATATGCTACATTCTTGCCAGAGGAGCCTACATCATCTAGTATTATGAAGCAAACAATAGTTGATGCAGCTGAGTGTAAAAGAAGAAAGAAGTTGATTCACGAATGGGTCTCTCTTTAGACCTATGAAGCAGGAATTCCATTTCATACATTGACGCTCCCTTCTTTCAATAATATGTGTGAAACTATTGGCCAGTTTGGTCCAGGTTATGTGGGACCGACGATGTATCAGTTGAGGGAGCTTTTGTTAAAGAAGGCAGTATCTCGTTATTCAGTTGGTTTGGAGTCACATAAGAAGCTTTAGGAGACTACCGGCTGCACATTGATGATAAATTCGTGGACAGATCGAAAACATAGATGTGTTATGAACATGTGCATTCATTCTAGTGCTGGAGTTATCTTTTGCAACTCGATAGAGGAGTATGCAGAATCTCATACCGGAGATTTTATTTTGAAGTGGGTTGATCAGTGCATCCAGGAGATAGGGACAAACTATGTTTTACAAGTTGTCACTGATAATCACTAGGCAGACATAGCTGCAAAGAAGAAGCTAAAAACTAAGAGGCCGAGAATCTTTTGGACTTCTTGTGCGGCGCACACAACCAATCTCATGTTACAGAACATTGAAAAATTGATAAAATTTAAGAATACAATTGAGAAGGCAAGGGCTTTGACTGTTTTTATCTATTATCACACCAGGACTTTGGCATTTATACGTAAGTGCACGAGGAGGAAGGACATTGTCAGGTCTGGTACCACTAGATTTGCTACCTCATTCCTCACTAGGGAGTCTATTAGAGAAAAATGATGCACTGATGTGTACGTTTAATTCAGATGAGTTTACAAGTTTAAAATTTGTTAGGTTTACAAAGAAGAAAGCTCTTACAGCAAATGCTACGTTGATATCGAGAACCTTTTGGAGAGGTGTGAGGAGTTGCTTGAAAGTCTTCACGCATATTTTTAAAGTTCTTCGCATGGTCGATTCAGATACTTGTTCCTCAATGGAATTTATTATCGGAGAGCTTAAAATAGTAAAGAGGGAAATCACGGCTGTTTTGAAGACAGAGAAGGACTATATGCCTATCATATCCATTATATAGAGGCATGCTAAGAATAGGTTTGATAGTCCTCTTCACCTAGCTGTATGGTTCCTAAATCCTCTTTTCTATTATGCGGAGGATGATGTGGCTAAGAAGAGTGCAGAAGCTAAGCAAGCCGTTCTTGATTGTGCTGAGCTATTTTTTAGAAATGAAGTTATTATTGATGAGGCTGTTGTTGATACTATCTGCTCTATTGAGATGTTGAAATATAGAGACTGTGCTGCTTTCATCAATGGAAAGCCAAGTGCACAAAGAGTAGTGAAGAGAATTGCTGATGATCGTAATCTAGGTATTGACTTATATTTTGATATATGTTTGCTAGTTTTGAGATTGAATCAAAATATCAAATCAATCAATTAATTTGTTTTACTCTCTTGAATCAGCTCATTGGTGGGACACATTTGGTGGAGACATGCAATAACGTACTTGTTTATCCAAAAAACCGTTATTTGTCACATTTCTTCAACTTTCAAGTCTCTAGTATAAAAATGCTCAACAATAAAAAACATTGATTAATATCATCATTATATTAACTACTAAAAAGTTGACCTAAAAATTAAAATATTCAAGTACAGAATAAATGACTAAATGAGCAACACAAGATAATATCATGATATATAAATTAATAATAACAATCTAAAGATACTAGACAAGCAATAAAGATCAAACTCCAAACGCATGACATGTTCAAACTCCAAACTTAACACTCAAAAGTTTAAATCAAAGCAAAATAAAAGCTAGAAGTATCAGAAGTGAAGTGACTAAAGTCTGAATTTGAGCAATGACTCATCATCACTCATCATCCTCATCATCAGCAGCAGTGCCAAGTAGCAAAATCTCATGTCTCAAATCCTCGTCGTTATCATCATCGTCAAGTTGGATATCCTCCTCATCTGAGTCTGAGTCATCAATACTTTCCTCCTCTTCGTCCTCCGAATCTATCTCTTCGTGGGCTCTTGAACTAGAAGCCCTATTCATCCTCCTTGTGGCCCTCCTCGGCTGCAAGAACTCGTCTGCTCCAGCTGCTTCGGAGATAACTCCTAGTGGTATATCGGTCTCTGGATGATAATCCCCTTCCACTTCAGAGTTATATCCATCTACCACCCATGAAGAAGCGTGCCGACCGTCTTTAGCAAGTAGGATGTCCTTCTTCTTTCCATCCTTTCTTGGTGTATTCAACTTAGTTCTGATCCTCAAATTGAATTGCACATAGACTAGATCGTTTAATCTCTTGCTATCGAGCCTATTTCTTTTGTGTGGTTTTGCATTCAAACATAAAAATATCTTTACTTTCAAATTTATCATTTTTTATCATTTATTGTTCAATATCTTTTTTAAAGATGAACAATTGAATATGAAAATTAAAGCAAGGTGGCGAGTGATTACCCCTTCAAAACAACTTCAATTTCTTTCACATTCAGAGGAGCTACTTGTCAATCTCAATATCTGAAGAGCCATCATTTGCATGTAAGGCACGTCTCCACCAAATGTGTCCCACCAATGAGCTGATTCAAGAAGATAAAGCAAATTAATTGATTGATTTAATATTTTGATTCAATCTCAAAACTAACAAATATATATCAAAATATAAGTCAATACCTAGATTACGATCATTAGCAATTCTCTTCACTACTTTTTGTGCTCTTGGTTTTCCATTGATGAAAGCAGCACAGTCTCTATACTTCAACATCTCAGTGGAGCAGATAGTATCAATAACATCCTCATCAATAATATCTTCATTTCTAAAAAATAACTCAGGACAATTAAGAACTGCTTGCTTAGTTTCTGCACTCTTCTTAGCCACCTCATCCTCCGCATAATAGAAAAGAGGATT